TTCAGTGAAAGGACAGTTCTGATCTGATCTCTTAAAGAAGCAGTTTTGCCCGTCTCTAATTTGAACCCAGGCCCAACAGTAGAGCAACTGGCACTGTTAACTCCCATACCGATAATTGTGCTTGTAACGGTTTGAGATCTATAATGGAGCACTATCATTCGAAACACAAATGTGTTGTTTGAAACTGTTCTTAATAATCATGCAAGAGGTGCTGTAAAATATTTTTCTAAGCTCCACTGTTTATAGACTATAAAAACAAATTTTATCAAACCAATACAAGTCATAGAACCACAAATAATCTTAAAATAATAATAATAAATAAATAAATCTGGGATGCTTATTAACACTGGTGTGATGCAATCTTCATGAAATTTTCTTTTACATTACATAATCATTATTCTACTTGGCCTGTATATTTGATATACATGTGCTATGAATCTGGTAAAATTAATTACTTTCATCCCAGTTCTTACACCAGTTCCAGTGTGAGAATTGCCTATTTCTTGCTCATTCAGTGTGATTATACTTATTTTGAAAATATAAGGTATGACTTTTTAGGCTACGCACCATATCCGTAAAAGTCCTTATGTGCATTTTATTTTCTTAAACTTTAGTCATAGACATGTACTTTCAAGTACAAAAACTTTTTGATCAACATAAATATTTATGTTATAATATTTAAGTTTACAAAGTCAATTTTGTAAAAATTGCAAAATCTAATATTTTTACGGCTTTCTCAATCCCTATAAGTTATATTTAATACATGTTTATACTCCCTTTTAAAAGTGAAGCATGAAAGGTTTGACTCCACAAGGATATTTACTTTCAAAGTTTGAAATTTTTGCCTATTTTCGAATGTGGGAAAAAAGTATTTTTATTGCTTTCCTTTAGGGATTGGTTAAAAAGTGAATTAGGATATTTTAAGGTGGATTTTTGTTGCAAATAACTTACTTAATAATATAGAAATATAATCATAACTAATTTATGATTATATTTTCCATTTGTATTTTGCAACATGTATGGCAACACGATTTTTATTTCTTGTTTTTGGCAACATTTTCAGTTGTTGTCACTTGTTTTACTTACTATGCGTACCATGTAACATTTGCTGTGCCTATAATGATTTTGTATTTCAATATATGTTAATCCAGATGAATCTCTGCTTATTTATTTGTCTCCATTCCTAACGCTAGACTTCATCATTTGAAAAGTGAAGCATGAAAGGTTTGACTACACAAGGATATTTACTTTCAAAGTTTGGAATATTTGCCTATTTTCGAGTGTGGGAAAAAAATATTTCTATTGTTTTCCTTTAGGGGTTGGTTAAAAAGTGAATTAGGATATTTTAAGGTGGATTTTTTCCCATTTAATATCATTCAGTAATATTCCTTTTTTTATTTATTAGTATGTACACTGCTCAAAAAAAAGTGGCAGTTCTATATCTCCCATTCTACTGGGCCGATTGACAAAATTCAACCTGTGTTTTTCTTGTCTCGAAAACGCAACTTAGGATATATATTAAATTTATAGATAGCATTGTTCTAATATAGGTAGGTATTTTGACAAAAAATCTGACTTTTTCTGAAATAACATACCAATTTTTTTCCATATTTCAATTCTTTGACTCAAATTACACCAAACTACCATGTTTCATAAAAATCGCACGAGTAGTTTTTAAAAAATTAACTCTCAAAGTTTTAGCTTCTCAATCTTAATTGAGTTTGGTATTTATTTATTAATCTTTTTTTTTTTTATCAAGCTTATTTTATTCTTCCTTTCACATTTCAAAATTCAGGTTCATTTCAAATAAAATTCATGCATTTTTTTATGATTTATTTTTAAAATTTGTATTTTTAAATAATTTTTCTAAAAACATATTGAATTATAATTTATAAAATTTTTACCATCATCTTAAAGTAGATGTATATCTAAACATACCTGCGAAAAGTTACAATTTTTATTCAAAATTTCCGAAGATATACGGGAATTTATAGATTGGCACGTTTTGAAATTTGGCATGTTTGTTGAAAGCGATAAAACATCAGATTTGCTAAAATTTGCTACAATTATTTGGAAGTAGAAACGATGTGACTTTTTTCTGTTTATGCACAATGTAAAAAGGTAGGAATAAGGTGCCTTTTTTTCCACTTTGCCATAATGGAAGGGAAAGGAAAATTTGTTGCCATATATTAAGATGTTCAACAAGTGAATTATTCTTGGCTCAAACTAAAAAAATTTAGCCAAGATAAATTCTTGAATTTCTCCGTAAATTTCACACCAGATTTTACAAAATTTAATATCTACACATAATTTAATTTGTAGAATCGAAATATGGAAAACAATTGGTATGTTATTTCAGAAAAGTCCGATTTTGTGTCAAAATATCTATGTTAGAACAATGCTATATATAAATCTAATATATATCCTAAGTCGCGCTTTCGAGACATGAAAAACGCAATTTGAATTTTGTCAATCGGCCCTGTAGAACGGAAGATATAAAAATGCTCCTCCCTTTTTTTTCTTTGCTGCAGTGTATCATTCTTTAATTTAAAATTTTGTTCAATTTAGTATGCCAGGAGAACTTTTACTCAAGAATTTTTAAGTTTCCAAATGCTAAAAATATGTAACTGCTCTTGACCTGCAGTTTTATACTTGAGGATCATAATCTAATTATCATAAATGATTCCAATTTTGTGCCATATGTTTTCTAGATTCAGTTAATATCACGTGTAACATGCTGTGTATATTTTTCTTAAATTTTTCCAGGTCTATATAGCTGAAGTTTTTGTACTTCTTTATAATATACAGTACAAAGTCTGTAATTCAGACTCGTCGGGGCTTCGGCGATTCCGGATTAGGGGTTTTTCCGGATTATAGATCATCAATTTAAATCTGGTAAGATGGCATGCAGAAATTATACAATTAAAAAAATATGAAACCGTAATTTATGAAATAAAGAGCAATTATGATCTAAAGGGTATTAAATTTTACAAAAAAAAGCTTAATATTTATTTGTTTACTTTATTAAACATTTCTTTTAACACATGCATGCATAAAGCATACATTACGTGCATGCGTAATGTATGCGCATTATTTACGTGCATGCGTAAAGTTTGTGGCTTTGAGATCCGGATTATAGATCATTCTGGATAATGGACGTCCGAATTACGGACTTTGTACTGTAGGTACTTATGGCATAATAATCTTTTTTAGTCATAGTTCTATAAGAGTTAAGAATAGAAACTGTCTTTGTGGTATAATTTTCTTAAATCAATGTTGTTCTCGTTTCTTGATTTTTTTAAGATCAGCGATACATGCTTCAAAATATGAATGTGAAAAGATGCTTTTTGTGCAATATATTTTTTAAACAATTGCACTTTAAAAAAAGAAAGAAATTAGAGAACAGTTTCGCAAAAGCAGACGGTATTTCCTTAATAGTGTTCTGTGCTCTTTCTTTAGTTCATGTTAATTCGAATCATTGTTAATAAGCAATCTTTTAAACTAACACTTACACTGCAGGAAAAATTGAAAGAATAATTGTAAAAATTCATGTAATTTAAATGGTTTTGCAGCTATGAACATGGATCTTGCATAAAATCTTTATTTTCTCATTCCTGGCATATGTTCAAAATGCAGAATTTCCTATTTCTGTAAAAGTGAATTTGAATAAGAATACAGAAAAATGTAATATAAAGTGTGGTAGGGAAAAGTCTATGTTACAACTTTTCAGGGATATGTAGAGACAACTTAATAAGGTACATGGTCACCCCTTACCAAAATGTAAACTTTACTGCAATTTTCCATGTTGTGTGTTACCTTGTACAGGAATTTCTACAGTAACAAAATAATTCACTGTAAATAGCACCTTGAAGCTTCTGGGGAGTACTAAGTTTGGCTGCTGAAATAATGCTGGCATCGTAGTAAGTCTCACATGTTCTGACGGATTGAAATTCAGAGAATATATGGCCACTCTTTTTGTTGCGTTCTTTTCTCCGCAATAAAAATGAGCATTATCATCCATTAGGAGAAAGTTATCAATTCTTCCTTATCGATTAACATTTTGCAGCATGAATTAATGACACACTTATCATAGCTTTCCTTGTATAAAACCCCATATTATGCAGCCTGTCTGTTAGGGTATATCTGACTAGTCTTTTCCTACAGCTGCAGCGAATTTCTTCCATTCTGGACCAGCGTCAGTTGTCTATTTTTTTTTAACACTCGTCAAATAACAGTTTTGCAAATCTTATTATGGAACATTTTTTGCCATGACCTGATCATCTGCATGCAACACCAGTGCCTTTAAACCACTTCCAGATTCTTGACGTAATGTTTTTTGCAATGTTTGGCTCTTTACTGATCTGTGGCAGTGTCTGTGCTGCTTTCAGTTTCTGAATCACAAGCCATTTGCCTTCTTCACAACCTGTTTCACCATCCATATGAGAAAATTTTATCCAACTACTCGTTTGGTCCTTGAAATTAGAATTTGAAGCACCCTCTTGCACCCCTTTCCACATGAACTGAAAAAAGGGCCAAAAAATTTGAAGATTTCTGTGTAGTGAAGATGAAACCAATTGGACTACATTGTCCTCGAGCTGGCAGCCATCTGCCTTTCAATTGGCTTCATTTAATAGAATTAACATAAAGCACCTTTTCTGTAGATGTTCCTTTTATTTTTCTCACTAGTGAAAATAAACAAAACTATTAAAACACTTTTAGTGTAGCTCATAAAAATAACTTTTTATGCTTTAACAAAACTGTATGTTAAAAAAAACTGCATTTTAAGATGAATTTTGTAAATAACTATAGAATATATTTACTATGATTTAGATATTAGTGTATTTTGTATGAAGTTGCTGAAAAAAAGTTTTTTTTTTTTTTTTTTTTTTTTTTTTTTTTTTTTTTTTTCCCGTTCTTGTAACATAACTAATTTAACTTACTGTGTAAGAATATGTTTTCCCGTTTTTATAAGCCATATAATTAAAATTGTTTTATTTCAGTGTCATGGTTTTTATGGCAATCAAAGAATTTATGGCATTTTGGGATCCTGCATATTTTACAAGGTTAGATCCCTTATATTCCGCTTATATGTATCTTTGTTATCAACTTTAAGACTAGAATCTATGGTATACTGAGAAATTTTATTAAACTAGAATCTTTTAAATGTGCTTAATATAGTTGAAACTCATTGTAACAATCCTTTTGTTCACAAAGAAGTGGACATTGTAATAAGAGATCAATATATTATCATCAGATTGTGACATTTTGCTCTGGTTGTTGTAATGGTGTTGCTGTAATGAACATATCAAAAATAAATTATGGATTAATATACTGTTTGGTTAATGAGGGAAAAAATGGTCATACACATAAATATTTCACTTGAGCATCTTTAGCATGAATTACAGTGGGCATAAATTGTTGGGCTGTTTCAGTGGGTTTATACACAGTTCCTTTAGTTATTTCTGATCAAATTTGCATCAATTCTACAAGGGGCTCAGTGAATAAAGAAAGAATTGAAGCACTCCTTAGATTCTTCTGAAGTTTATCCTACGTATCTTCCACTGGATATAGTTCAGAACTTTAGCATGGCAGATCCATATACCATACATTGAAATAGTGTCTCATGCACTTCAAACCAGTTTTGTCATAATTCGAGCTTGATGAATCATAACATCATCATTCAGGTATACACCACTACATCAGAGCAGGAAATGGCCAGTGATGGAATAAGACAGTCATTGGATAACCTGAGATGCTCAGCTGACTTCATTTTTTTTTTACTGCAGAATATTCCTGAGTGAGCCCCTCAGACAGAAAAGGGGTTAGTGACTGACTTCACCTTACCGAAGGGTCTGGTTTCGAATCCCAGAGAAGGCATGGATGTATATTGTTTCCTTCATAGGAGGCAATGGTGGCACACCTATTAGGGGCCTCCTTAATAAAGTGACCACCACTTCTGGTCTTTGTAGTGGCCAATGCTATAAAGGCTGTCACTGGAAAAGAAAATATAGTCTTGTGTAGACAAGTCAACAAAAACAACTGCAGATCGTGAAACTTCCTCCTGAGGCTTCGGTAATGGATACCGTACATAAAGGATCTAATGTTTCAGTGTGACAACCTTGTGACTCTGATGTGCAATCATTATGTTAGATAACATGTATCCAGATTTTTTTCTTTGTTCTTCTGAAGACCAAGCATAATATTCTATGGCAAATAGAAGTTCGTTTTCTAACTTCTTAAAAGAAGCGGAGAAACAGTTTTCCCTCTGAAGCAGGAAAATTATCATACGAATTAAGTAATGTGTCAATTGACAAAATTAATTGATCAGAATGTTAACAATATTGAATATCTGCCATCTAATATCATTATTAAACTAAATCTCATGGATCAAGATATAATTAAAAATCAAAATCATATCAAAGATACTCTTGGAACAGATTTTATTAGCAATGGATTATAATGAAAGTTATGGCTTAAAATTAGTGCAAGCTATCAGTGATTTGTATGCTGCATGGGGTGCTGTGAGACTTGCAGTAATAACTGTCAGTTTCCATCCTACCAATCTCATTCAATGGATTACATGAATGATAAAGTCATTCCCTAACTTTTATGAAACATTCAAATGTGGTAGTGTAATTTACATGTATTATATTGTAATTGATATTGGATTTTGAATAACCATGTGATTCAATAAAATTCTTGAAGCTATTCATGAAATGTGAAATCAAAACAAAGAACTTGATAACTGAAGAATTGGTCCGTACTTCTGAGGCCTGATTACTGCCACAGAAAAGTCTTGTATATAGCCAATCAAGTATTTGCTTACATTCATTCCTTTGTAGCCTTCATTAGTCAAAGGACTACAAGGCTTGTTACAAATTGAAAAATTCATTAAAATATTTAAAATAAATAGGGATGAAATAATTTTAATGAATTCTTTTCATAGAAATGTACAAATTGATAAAGCTTTCTACAAAAGAAGTGTAAATTAAAACTGTATATTTATTTTTATTTCCCTTTTTAAGCTGTTTTTCTTATTTATTTTTTCACACCTTCAGAACTGAATTTTGAGAATACTTTAGGTAATTTGAGCAGTTTTCCAGTTCTTATGATTTTGAATTGCTGAGAAGCTATTGAATGAAGTTTATTACTGTAAATGTTGTGTTCTTGAAACTATTGAACTGCATGGTTTATGGAATAATTATAGTGTGTCCAAAAAGGACTGATGGTTGCTTAAATGTAATAATGAGCAGTTGATGATAGGCATCAAAAGAATTTTTACAAGAGATTAATGGTAAGATCAGGAAATTTCGTGTGCTTCATTGTACAGTGCCAAATGTCACCAAGAGGTGACACTTCAGTTTCTGAAATTATTAATCATTTTACTTTTGGAAGTAACATCAAAATTATCTCAAAATGTGCACCATTCACCAAACATTTATCATAAACAAAGAGTGAATTTAAGTGATTGATTCTGCAACATTGCTACTTGAATGGCTTCTCACATTCATGACAGATGGTTTGTTCCATTTCTGCAACTGAGGAGAAAGTCTATCAGTGCGTCATATCTTTCAAGTTACCTCAAAGAAGTTGCACAGATTAAGAGCCGCTGAATGTGATGGCCAATCACCCTTTTTGATTGCATGGAGTAGTACATAAAATTCATTGACACAACTATCGAAATATTCTTCCAGGAAAGTTTCATTCCTTCCTAGAAACTTCATACTAATGAAGTCTCGTATCATCTTGCATGAACCAGACTTTAGGGTCAGTTATGCAAAGCATTTAGACTGTACTTAAATTTGTGTAAGATTGAATGTAAAGATTTGAATTTGCTCTCTCCTGTAAGAAACTGAGCCCAGTGATACTTTTGCTAGATAAAGTTACCAGTACAATCATTTTTATGCATTCGGTGATCATGGAATGAATATATGATCTCCCTTCCCTGGATCTGCGACTTCTATTTGTTAATAAACTTAATCCATATAAAAAAGTGCTTCGTCAGGAAAACCATATGCAATTTCCATCAATATTGCCCTCATTAATAAGTTTTGTAAAAATGAGTCTTTTCTTCTTTGATGCCATTTAGATTTTGTGTGGAAAAGTTTCCAGGCTTTCTGTTAATAAAATTTGGTACTAACACATAAAGCATGTTAGAAAAATTCATGACCTTAGACATTATAATTGAATAACAATAATAACTGTTATTGTTCACTTGTTAGTCTATTTAAAAAACAGTTAGTCTATTTAAAAAACAGTCAGTCCTTTCTAAGACACCCTGATCATAATTTATGTACCAAATTAGAACTGTTTTATCTGTTTCGACTTAATTCCTGTTTCCTGATCATTTTCCTTAAACCTTTTATTTTTAAGTATATGTAGTTTTCAATTTTCATTCGCTTTTTTTACAGTTTTATTATTTGTTATTGATTTTTAATTATTTGTTCACTGAAATATTTTTCATTCTGCTCAGGGATATTTGCTGAGCAATCACCTTCCTAAAAGTGATTTGCTAGATTTTCACTTATTCCTCCATCACCATCATATACTAAAATTAACAAGAATGCAGCCTGTATCTAAGATCATCATTTGGCATGAAGTATTCCCTTCAAGGCACCAAGAACCTTCTGTAGTGAACCCAGACTTCCAGGAAACATCTGGTAGATATTTCATGCTAATAGTGGCAATGGTAACTATGCAAAATGTCTATTACTATTAATATTTTTGTGCAGAAGAAGCTTATACTTTAATCCTAGTTTTAGCTGCTATAGTATAGAAAAAGTGTATGCTTTTAAATGTTAGGTTTTTTGTAGTCAAGCAATCATAGTAATCTGGCAAGCAGATGTAGATATACGATGTTCAGAAGTTTTATATTATTTTGAAATCTGATTGTGTAAGGTTGTACATTATGGACAGAACAGTTATTTGCTTTGATGTGTGCAATAAAATGGAAGTAATTTTATTTTTTGCAACATTGGTGGGAGGAGAAGCTCAGAATTTTGTGAAGAGATGCTATTGAATAAATTCGTTAACATTAATAGAATTTATAGTAATGTTATATGTAAGTTCTTTGTATAACAGTACACTTTTAAAGTGTATTCAGTTATTCAGATATGTTGCAAAAGGTAGAGTAGAGACAAGTTGAAGAAAATTTAACAGAGTGGAAGTAATATATATTGTTTTGTGATGAACAACTGAGAGAACTTATTCAGCTCTTAAGATATGTTGTCAATCACAAAGTATTGCATGTTGCTTTGTTGTCAATAATCTGTGGTTCCCATTCAGCCCGTTTTTGGTTTTAATAAAATATCTGAGTCCTGGGAATTTCTTTTAAATATTATGCTTTTTAAGTGTGCTTACTGAAAAAAGGTTTATAATATGATTATTATTATTTTTAAAGTATAAATATGTAACACTTCTAGCAATTTATCCATGAAAAATTGTTGATCAATTTCTATATAACTGTGCTGGTAGTATTAATGATCCTAACAATAGTTCTGTCCAGAGCAGCTAAGTGATGAAAGAGCTGAGCACCAGTAGTTCAAATCCCGGCAAACAGCTGCTGCATCGAATTGTTGCATGTTTAACACATGTGTAACATGAATACAAGCAAGCTTTCATTGAAGAGTCCCCCTTAAAGGCATCCCTCCACCTAGACAGTTAGCTCTCATATGTTTTACCATAATTTAAGCGATTCAAATAATCTATCCTGATGTTTATGAAGAGACTATATCCTTGACTGCTTGCTTGTCAAGAGATCTCTCTCTGTTAAAATGATGGCATTCATTGTTATAACAAGCAGACCCTGTGTGTATATGTGTGCATGTGCATTTATATATGTGTGTGTAATAATAATAACTGTAATTATCTTGACTGGGTGAAAATTGTAACAGATCTGGACACTTCTTTTGTTGTGTAGTTTGAATGATGCATAACAAAGGAGAAACTTGTAGACAGACGTGACCGAACTGACATAATTTTTATTGCTGTACAATGAACTAATTATCAAAACATATTGTTCTTCACACATCATCATAGTCACAATATACACCCCACAGTTTTATATAATGTATCACATTTTGGATAATGACGTAGTTAGCAGCAAGACAAAGCACAGAGAGCAATGAACCAACGAGTGGCCTGGAAGAATCAGAATAAAAGAGATCAAGCAGCCAGAGCCACAGCTAAAGTTTTCAGTGCCCAGGGCAGCTAAATATTTTGCATTCCCTTCTGTGTGCCATTTTATTCTAAAATTTTGAATTTGTGACTCATTTTATTGTAAAACTTCAAAACATCAATTTGGCGTCCCCTGGAGGCTGTGCTTGGGAACAGATGTTCATTGTCTTACCTGCGCAACGCCACTGTGCACAGCAAAGACCTTTTATACTAGATTACAATTCGAAACATGTAACAGATTATCATCTGGATGCTGGGTTAAGATTTCATTGCATTCCAGAAATAATTGCATAATACGGATTAGGTGACAGATTGTTTTCAGAATTGCAGGGAGTAAAGATTATGTTAGAAAAATTATTTATTTGTTATTTTTATAATGAAGAGGGGAGTTAAAGAGTTATTGTTAATTTATTATTAGAAAGGTATATATATTTTTACACACACACACACATATATATATGAAACTCAAAAAGTAAATAAGCAAAAACTTAAAAGCTTATTCCACTTGAAAAGTCAGCTTTCTTCCATGAAATCAACAGTGATTATAATTATTTTAATTTAATCTTAATTTTCTTGTTTCTTTAATATTTTAATATAAATTGACATATATATTGTACTTTGAATTTTTTATGATTAACTTTACAATTTTAAACTTTTTCTAGGGATATTACATGTTTAATAGTTTGATATAAATTATTCAAAAGAATTAACTTTAAATTTGAAAAGAATCAATTACAGTAGCTTTATTCTTTATTTCCTGGGAAATACTCATGAATAAAAATTATTAATTGAACACATCCTTTGTTTTCACAATCGTTAGTCATATACTTCCACTTACAGAATTGTTTAAAATGATGAAAATTTTCGTGTTTTAGAAATGTCAAATGTAAAAACATAATTAATTTTCAAGAAATAGCAAAATCTAACTTCTAATGCAGTTTCCCAGTACCTATACTTATATTTAGGAAAGTTTTATACTCGTCATGGAAGAATAAAATTGTACGACGTTTGACCCCCATATGACAAAGATGACTGGGATATTTAATTTCAAGATTTGTAATTTTTTGTGTCACTTTAAACTTTGCATTAAGGGTTCAGTTAATTAAGGTAGAATAATTCGAAGAAATAAGTTTAAGAAGAAATACATTTATTCAAAGAAATAAGTGCAGCAAAATAATGTGTATAATTCAATGCTCCGTACAAGGAAATCATGTGGTGTCCACATCAGATTTATTTTAGATGGGAGATGGGTAGGATGGTCTCTGTAGAAGCATCTGGGAATGTGACTGCAAGCTTGTCTATCTTGTCAGCCTTTTTGTTCCCTTCTATTCCTATGTGAGCCAGTGCTCTACTCAAGTATGGCCTTTTGGAGATAGTAAATGAAAAAAGTTGTTTTTGTTCCTTGCAATATTTGCTAGGCTGGAAGCCAAGTGGGAGAAAATGAGTAAGCTGAGGAGAGGGATGTGGCATGAGTAAAAGCTGCACTAATGGGAACCTGCCTGAAAGATGGAACTGTTATTGGATAATCTACAATAGCAAAAATGTATAGCTATATTCATCCCACAGTGCCCCAACCTGTTTCAGCATCTCCTTTAGAACCATCAGTGCAAACTGTAATTTGGGTCGTGTCAGACGAAGAATTGTTCAGCATCAGGTGTAAGTCATTTTTGTCAAAATAGCATAGAAAGATCGAGCAGCATTTCTCATAGTTAGAGAAGATATATGAGTATAGAGAGAGCAGGCAACATTTCTCATAATCAGTGAGATACATTTCTCATAAGCAGTGAAGACATAACCCCATAGCATGGTAGTACTTGCAAGTCTTGTGATGCTGACAATTAGCTTCCCTCTCTACAGCCAGATTTAATGAAGGAAGACCAGCCAGGACTTAAAAGTGCAGCAGTAGGTAATGTTCTATATACCCTATAGATCCTGTACAGTAATGGCTTCTGAGTCGACAGCAAGTGTTTTTCAATTGTATAATAAGGTTAAAGCCTCAGGCCCAAACAGAGCAATGTGCTTGGCAACCCTTGTATACCAAATGCATAATATGTTAGTGGAGATGCCATGACTAAGAGTAACTGTCCTTATCATGCAATTGTCTAAAATATTAAAGCTGAAGAGGCAACTATGAAAGACTACGATTGACCATGATGTCTAGATATTTTAATTAGATGATTTTAACCAGAGTTCCACTGAGATGAAAGCATGAATTTTTTTGGAGTCTGTGATCATGTCTGATTTCAATTACCTGCGTTTTGTTAGCTGATATTATGAGTTTTTGAGCCTTCATCCTTTTATCAAAAGCTCTGAGACTAGTTTTGGCCAGATCTTCAGTCCGTTTTTTTCGATTTTCCTTTAATCACTACAGTCAAGTTATCTGTGTATGATAAGGTATTTACATCAGGGTTATAACTGAAGATCTAGAATGCACAGTTGGCCACTAGATTCCACATTGTGAGTCCCAGGCATGAACCATGTAAGCAGCCTCCATTCCCTTTTTTAAGCAGTACTACTTTGTCGGTGGCGATTTGCATGCTGTGATTGCACAGATAGCTGAAAATAAGGTCCCATAATGCAACCTGGGATGTTGATATTTATGAGGCTGTACAGCAGGGAAGCACAAAGAGTCAGAAGCTCCTTCATATCACGTGAAGTTTAGATAATGTATTATTTTTGATCTGATGCGAGTTATCAACTAGACATGTTCGATAAGTAAAAAACTGTGAAAGCTGACCAGCCAAAGTTTGTTGAAAAATGGTCATGGGCAAGACTTTGAAGGTAAGGGAACATAACAAGCTTTAAAACTTTAGAGATGTAACAGTGATGTTAGGTATGCACAGAAATAAATTCCAATGTCACTCCAGACCATAACTCCAGGTGACAAATCAGTAAACTCCAGGTGACAAATCAGTACAGTGATGCATAATGCAAGGATCATGATATCTGTCACATTGGTGCTGTCAGAATCAAACTAACTAACATGGAAATGTCAGCTGAGTTGAAATTTGTTTAAAGGTTTGGATTTGGTTTATCTGATTACAGCAAAGCACACTAGGGTTATCTGCCTAAGGGAAGGGATGCCTTCGTGTAGGACTTTCTAATAAAAACTGGCTCATATATACATTACACATGGGGAAAACCAAAAAAACACCCATGCAGCTACACCGTTCGCATGAAATCAAACCCAAGTTGGAACTACCAGTATTCAGCAACTTAACCACATGGCCAATGGTAGGCATGAAATTTGTTTAAAAAGACAATGTTGTGCCATTCATTTGTATCTATCTGGGACATTCCATTGTAGCTGCATAGGCATGTGGTGGAAAGTCAATGGTAATCACAGCAATAGATGACTTGAAAAGATTCCTTTCCTTTGCAAACAATGCTGAATGATACGTGCTGACACATACTGCTGTGCAACAGATGTGAATTCATGTGCTAGGATTCTTGATATTGCTCTGCAATCCACCATTTCCCTGCACATAAGATGCTTGTTTTTCATTAGGTAGA